GGTGTCAGTGTGATGATGGGTTTGTTCTGAATGGTAACCAGTGTGTCCAACCAACATCATGCGGATGTTATCATGAAGGGCGCTATCGGCAAGCTGGTGAACAGTTCTGGGATGGTGAAGAATGTCAGAACTTTTGCACCTGTAATGGTGTTACTGGTGTAGTCCAGTGTTCCCCCAACACATGTGGACCTCAGGAGTCCTGCCGTGTTGTTGAGGGTGAATTTGGCTGCCATCCCAACCCTCGTGGCATCTGCTCTGCTTCTGGAGACCCTCACTACCTCACCTTTGATGGCAAGGCCTATGACTTCCAGGGAACCTGCCACTATGTTCTGGCAACAGTCTGCAATGAAACTGAAGGTGTTAAACACTTTTCTGTGCAAGCAAAGAATGAACCATGGTTTGGGTCGCCAGTTTCTATCACGGCTGAAGTTTTTGTTGATCTATTGGGCTATCAAGTGCGCATGTCAAGAAACAACAGGGGAACAGTGGAGGTAAGTCAAGCTGTTCCTAACAGAAGATTGCTGAATATGTCCAAAACTATCTGTTCAAATTGGACTGCAAAGGTTTAGTTCTACAAAATTTGCACCAGTATATGTCCATAAATTCAGTTTTATAACCTTGAAACAACTGTCCACTTCACAGGTAAATGGAATCACCAGAAACCTGCCCATTGTCTTCAATGGAAGCCTTTCTATTTTTGGAAGTGGATCCCAAACATTTGTCAATGCAGACTTTGGACTGAGCGTCATGTATGATGGAAGTAGCACAGTGTCCATTAATGTGCCCCCAATCTACAGGTAGCCTTCTGTTAGTCTATTTGAAGTGCTTTTAATGGCAGGTCATTTGCATATTGTTGTATTTGAAAACCATGTTATTAGTTATTTTTAGTTCATAGGCTAATGGGTTTTCTGACAAGACATGATTTTCCATGTAGTTACCATTTGGTTTAGTATTTTTGCACTGTGTTGCACTTGCTAGTCAGCAATGTTTTTGTTGTCAGCAAAATTCTAGCACTAGCCCTCTGCTAGTTAGAAAAAAGAGCTGCGAAAAGGCTGTGAACGCATGATTTCCCGCGTCAAGAAAGAAGATTGTAGAGTCACAGTTTGTGAAAGCTCTATTTTTGCAGTGGCTGGAATAGCAAACATGGATAATAAAGTTTGGGGAATTCGGGCACACAGAGAATTACATTTTTTGCTTCTTTGTCTGTCTGGCTAATGGCTCTATACCCCATAACCTATGTGCCAGATGTGTAGTCTTCGTTGTGCACCATAGTAGAATATCAACATGGCTGAACTCTAACTACAGAGTGCACACCAGCTCTCTAATGACTCCAGCCATTGAGCATGTCCATCCTGTCTAAGTTTGCTAATGCACTAGTTATTTTTTATACTTATAACTATAAGAGGAAAGCTAAATTGATAGCTAATAATATACCAATATACTGTACACAAAATTTATTGTTGCTGAAGTTATTTATAAATGTTTTGTATTAAATCTTGTCTGCATTTCCTAGCTACTTGTGAAAGTTTTATTATTTTATGTTATGTATTTCAAACAAAATTTATACACACAGATGATTCTATACAAACTTTATGCAGTCTATCTTATTTCCATCAGAGGAAATACATGCGGTCTTTGTGGAAACTTCAATGGAGATCGAAATGATGACTTCCACTCCCCAAGTGGAGCACTGGTCAACACTCCAGATGCTTTTGGAGCAGCCTGGAAGGTTCCTGGGAACTACACCTGCAGTGATGGCTGTGGCTCCTCATGCCCTCAATGTAATGATGACCAATCTGCCAGATCCCAATGTGAGGTGATTCAGGCAGCTGACGGCCCCTTCAGCTTCTGCCACGAGGTGGTGGATCCGTCACCATATTTCACTGACTGTGTCTTTGATGTCTGTGTGTCTGGAAATCGAGGCAATGATCTTCTGTGTAGGGCTCTTGAAACATATGTCAGTGCCTGTCAGTCTGCTAATGTCCATGTCTATCCTTGGAGACAAAACACCACCTGCAGTAAGTATAGAAGGCTCTTTGATATTAGGGTAATCAATTGAACAAGTTTTTTATTTAACAGTCTCTTGAACCATTGCATCTGCTCTGTTTAAACTTGTTTTATCCAGCTTACCATATTTTTTTTCCTACCATATAAAGGAATTGAGTGCCCAGCCAACAGTCATTATGAGCTGTGCGGAACAGATTGTGGCCACACCTGTGCCAGCAGCATTGATGCCCTCTGCGACCATGTTTGCTCTGAGGGATGTTTCTGTGATGATGGTTTTTCCAGGAGTGGAAGCAGCTGTGTCCCTGTGGAAAGCTGTGGCTGCCAGTATGAAGGCCTCTACTTCAATGTAGGCCATTTAAGTCCCTTGATTTTAGAGTTGGCTCCGAAATGTGGAAAATAAGGGCCCAATGAGAACATTTAAAGTTGCTTAAAAAAAAAAAAAACTCATTACACTATAAACTAAGAGATATAATTTGTGCATGCATCTTACATGAAAATATTTATCATGTTACGGTAGCATCTTTTCCGGTTTTCTGTCTTTTAGTCTTTCCAAAAATACTTGCCAACATGGACTGAAAGACCACTCAGAGAGGAAGCAGAAATGCATAAAAAGATTACAAAAACACAGATTATAGTTTCCAAAAGTAATCCATAAGAAAAAAAATATATACTATTCTTGCACTTAGGTAAAATAAATGTTTAAGGAACTTTTCTCTGCAATTAAATCAGACTTGAGGTTTGTCTGATTTATAGTGAGAGAGTAGCAAAAGCTTTGTCAATTTCAAAGTATGCAAATACAAATTAGTACATTTATTTAAGCTGTCCACTAGCTATTTGGGGAATGCATGTTTGAAGACACAAGTTAAGTGTGACAATTGGTTAAAGAAAACATGTCACACAAGTTTGTTTTAGGCACACAATTTACTTGTTTGTGAAAGGCTAAACTGAAAGGAGTGTAAAACTTGACAAACCTGAATCATCAAACTTGTTCCACATGATGCAGTTTTGAAGCTATGATTTAAACCTGAGAAGTAACATTATTTATGTATACTTTCAAACCAATGAATACTTTAACTTTTATGTCACCTTGAAGGCTGGTGAGTCCTTCTGGACAGATGGATGCTCCCAGAGATGTGAATGTCAAGCACCCAATGTCCTCAACTGCTATCCCTCATCATGCACTCCTGCACAAGAATGCTCTATCAGAGATGGTCAGCTGGGCTGTCATGATCCAATGTCTACCTGTACTGCATGGGGTGACCCACATTACAACACCTTCGATGGAGCCCTGGCTCATTTTCAGGGAACATGCTCTTACATCATTACTGAGAGCTTGAGCCAAAGCAACAATGAAACTCACTATAAAGTAGTGGCCACCAACAACCACAGAGGGAACAACCGTGTGTCATTTGTGTCATCGGCTGATGTATACCTCTCAAGTCCTCAAGAGAATGTTCATGTCATGCTTGGACCTAACAAGAGAGTGAAGGTAAACTTTATTTTAAATTTATAATAAATAACAGTTTTTCAGGGGTTCAAACTTTATTTCTTATTCCCTGAACTCTCATCATAACAGGTGAATGGAGCTGAGGTCTCTCTTCCCACCACTGCAGGAACCTTTGGTCAGCTGATGAGGCAGGGAAGGTTCCTAGTGTTTGATGCTGGTGATGTCATAGTCCAGTTTGATGGCCGCAGTACCTTACATGTAAGAATGAGCCGCCACTATCAAAACAGAGTCACTGGAATGTGTGGGAACTTCAACAGTGATCCTACTGATGACAAAGTTTTGCCCAACGGTACATTGGCCCAAAACGACAATCATTTTGGCCACAGCTGGAAATCAGAGACAAGCCAAGCAGGGTGAGCTCAGGTTTAATTTTTCTGTCTTTATCCCAAGTTCTTTGATTATTTAAAATATCTATTTTTATAAGAATTTGCTGCCTTTACAATCTTTGAAATGTTTTACAACTTTTCTAGATGTGGAGCCACAGATGACAGAAGTGGTGGCGGATTGGATGACTGCCGCTTTATAGAGGAATACACGGAACTCTGCCGAGTCATCACCAACACCAGCGGCCCATTCAGTTCCTGCCATCTCCACACTGACCCGCAGCCATTTTTCACATCATGTGTTTATGATCTCTGCCTCTACACACCAGCTAATGGAATGCTTTGCTCAGCGGTCTCTGCTTATGAGGAAACCTGCAACATTTTGGGTTTAAATATTCCTGATTGGCGTTCTCCTTTGAACTGTGGTATGTTTGCCTGGTTCAATGGATTCCCAACCCCAGTGTCTTTGACTGGCCACATGCTTATGTTTTCTTAATATCTCTGCAATTTCTTATTTAATTCAGCTGAGACAGACCCTTGCGAACAGCTGGACTGCGCAGATTATGAGTGGTGTGGAAAGAAAGATGGGGTATACGGCTGCTTCTGTGATGAGCACCATCATAGACCCAACAATGAGAGCTATGGTAATAAAACATTTAAAACCTTTTTGTATTCATATGAAAAGTTTCAGTAATATTCAAATCATTTAAGCAAAATCAAATCTGAAACATTTTTACACTGGTATTTAACTGCTGTTACTCCCTTAGTGCAAAGGTCCGGTCAGCAAGGAACAATCAATGGATCATTATCTATATCTAAAACTAATACGTTTGCCGTAATGTAATAAATTTGGCATTAATCAATAAAAAAATATATATATAAAAAATATTTTCATCACGATCAATGAGTCTGGGAGTGGCCATTTATGCCCAAATATAGTAATACTCACTCCTGACATCTTCCGGCACTGACGTCACTGTGTGGCAAGCCTAGGGCCATTCTTCCCGCTTTACAAACAAAATCAATAGGAACTATTTTACCTGCAATCAACAATTATTTTAGGTTTCGAGAGGATTCACCATTGACATTCATGAGAGCTATTTGTCATGATGCTTTTAAGGGATCTGACCCACATGCAGAAAACCACTCAGAGGACCAAGGGAAAGTTTAACAGGTTTATTGATGAGGACAGCAGGAGGTGGAATCTTGAACTCAGAGAGAGCTGTTTAACCGGAACTAGAAGTGGAAGGAAAGTTCACAGCGGTTAGTTCAATGGCCGTAGGAAACTGATGGAGGAAAAAGAGAGTCACGTAGGAGGGGATCTAAGTCAAAGCCTTGAATCCAGAATGTGTGAGCTTTCCAGAGAGAGAGTAACTCGTTGGAGGGTGGACAGGTTGGTGGAGTTGGACCCTGAGGAGTATGAGAGCGGACTGCCACTTAGATTTCTGATGGTACTTCAATGGATTGTGTGGAACTTTTCCCCAGCTCAGTGTGAACAAAAAAATATCCTTCCCGGGGGAGAAGGCCAAACCTTCCAGTCAGCGGGAAGACTACTTGCCAAAAGGCAAAACAAAAAACACAGTCAGTCTCAGAGAAATGAAGCACAGGTTAGACTCAGCTAATCACGGCTTGGCTAGAGTACCCAAAACTGGCAAACACTCTGGCGTCGAGGTAGTGGCAGTCAACGGCTCAAATACTCCCCTTTGATGAACCAATAAGCCGCAGCTGTGCAGGAGGACCAACGAGGACAGGGCGCCACCTGGTGGTGGAGGGAGAGACAAACACAAAACAACCCACACATACTGGATTCCTAACACTATCAGCAATCCAATGCCCACATGCATGGCAGTTGGATGTTGCGATACATCGGGTAAAAGTGAAAAAAAATTGGTTATTTCACCTTTCTGATTCATTATCCACGAGTCCGTCAATGGATTGCCAACTTGAAGAGGGAGGATTTGCAATCGAACTTCTGGCCAGAGAAAAAACATGTTATATGTAGCCAACAGTTCGAAGAAGAATGTTTTCAGGATGACTTTGATAATACTGTAGCACGTTGTGACAAACAACAGATACAGCATTGAGACTTGAACAACAGCTGATATCGCACCTTGACGTCACAGACCCGTAGGTGGCAGTAGTGTTCATTGACGAACATGAATGCAAATAAAAATTACTCTCAATTAAAAACACTTATCATTTATTAAACAGTACAAAATAATTTTATATTTAAAGTAGTTTCTGAAGTTTGAATTCTAAATATGAACAGACTTTTTATTTAAATCACAATCTTAATTTTTACTGGATTACACGGTCACCTAACCTGTTGTCTTTCTGGTAAGCAGACTCGAGCATCCAATGTGCCAGCAGTTCAGGCACCATGTCAATATCTCGCTGTCAGCTGTTTGAAGCTGGTTTCCATCCCACTGCTCTCCACCTCCAAGATGCCTCCTGCAATGGGACTCTGCAGGAAGGACGACTGATCTTCCACTTTGACAATGACAACCATCTGTGTGGGACAGCTCTGAGGGTGCAGTTCAAAAATGAGAACCACATCTATAAGAGCCAAAATATCTTGCTAACATCGATTGACATGAGTTTATTTCACTGTTTAGAGCAATGGAACTCACTTCATGTACGAGAACACCATTCAGGGGAACGTGGATCCTCATGGAGGTCTAATCAGCCGTCAGAGAAACCTTCATCTGCAGTTCTGCTGTATTTACCCTCTGGCTCAGGCACTGTCAATGTCTGTAGGCATCAACCCTCTAGAAAGGTGATGATCGTGTTTGCAGTATCATTATGAGTATCAAAAGAATAAAACTGGATGCTCACAAACAATGTTTATTTTGCAGCATTTTGAGGAAGAAGCTTCCTATTGGCATCGGATCTTATCGTATGAGAATGATCCCCTACGAGGATGAAGACTTCCGCTATCCCCTTAGTACTAACAGAAACATAGAAATGGAAGTTGATGAAATGTTTTATGTGGAAGTGAGAACAGAAGGAGTGGATCAGCGCCAGTTTGCCACCGTTCTGGACTCTTGCTGGGGCACGCCAGTCAATCAGGCCAACTACCCTGTTCGCTGGAATCTCATTGTTTCACAGTAATAGAGAAAATTTTGTTGACTTTTATAACTCTAAATGGTTAATTTTCTCCCAGCTGGCTGAAATTCTTACTCCTGCATCTGTTTTGTCACTCAGGTGTCCTAATCCAGAAGATGGAACAGTAGAGGCGATTCAAAATGGTGTCTCCACTGTGGCACGTTTCTCCTTCAGGATGTTCACCTTTACCAACCACACAGAGATGTTCTTGCATTGTAGTGTCCACTTGTGTCTTCTGAGAAACAACAACTGTGCACCTGTATGTACAATTGTGTGCTTAGTGTGGCTCTTTAACTGTATGTATATAACCTCCTCTTGCATATATCCTACCAGCTTCAGAACCTCTGTTATTTTACTTTTTTCCAGCACTGCTATCCAGGACACCACACCCGATTCCGAAGGGACATATCTTACCATGACTCAGGAGCTCTATCCCTTGGGCCACTAGTCCTTAAGGCACATCAGAAGACTGGTAAAATTCTCTCAAACTTTCTTTGCTTTGTTAAGAAAAGATTATACTTTAACTGGCCAATTTCTTTACAGGTGTTTCTTCGATAGGATCAAAAATCCAAAGAAATGGGGCTTCAGTCTGTCTGACATCAATTGTTACACTGATTGTTAGTTTATTAATGGCAAGAATCTTGGTGAATTGAGATCAAAAGAGAATCGTACTTTCAAATCTGGTAGAATATTGTTACTTATGGTTGATGTTGGTCTACGGTGTTTTGGGTTTCTTGTTTGTACTCATAATTAAATTAAAATAGAGGAACTTTTATAGGTAGAAATTCAGTTTATTTGCTTTGCATCTTTAATAATTTTGTCAAATCAATATTACACAAAGACATGCACAAAAATTAAATACTCAGACATGCTGGTGTACATGAGGTAAAATGCATTTATAAATTCTAGGTACCTAAAGCACAAAAAATGTATGGTTGGAATGGGTGGTGTAAACCACTGGAGGTATTAATATAATTTTAAGTGTGGTCTTGTTTATAGCATTACTTATTGGTATCAGAGAATCAAAACTATTACTTTGTTGTGTATTTTATATATACATGTACAACTATCTACGGAAAATATCTAAAAATGTCAAACTTTCATTCAATATCTATATTCTGTTTACGAATTTTTTGGGTGCAGGGAGATATATCTGCTTGATTATTAAATAAATTAATAAAGGTATTTAAATATATTTGATTAACTAGCTTTAATCCTTTTTCTTTTTTATAAAAGCCTAATAAAACTGTATGGTTTGTGTGTTACATGTTCTTTATTATATACTCCCCCAGTTAAGTTTCTAACTATTTTTTATGAAACAGCTTTGAATATTAGCAGTAATAAAACTGGTTTAGAAAATAGACTTTAGCTGAAAAGAAGGACATTCTCTCTTAAGTTTCTCAGTATATGAGTTGTGAGTAGTTCTTTACAGTGCATCTGTTCTCTTGCCTCTGAGTGGGAGGTTGAGGGACGGAAACCAGCCTCTTTTTTCTGGAATCGTTGGGTAATGTGCTGATGAAGGGATGATCACTGTTATGCTGGCTGGCCGGACATCTTTAAGACAGCTTCCTTCCTTCTCGTACTGGATCATTAATATCTGGTGTGGTGCTCATTGTACATTAGGTCCCTGTAAAGCCAGTCAGGAATTCTGTCCCCAGCAGAGGTAGAGGAAAATGTGCTTAATGCACAGTTATGTGTTATTAAATCGAGGAAAAACACCCCACCCCCCATTAATCTTTGCAGGTTTGCATGCCACATAATTTTGGTTCAGTTAATCTTTTTGTCTGCCATTTTACTGCATTTATTTGTGCCAGCCTGTTTAGACATTTTCTTGGTTTCATAATATTATTTTAATATTGCTATATTTGATGGTCCAACTATGTTTACAAACCCACAGAATATACAGTATCTCTCCATCACCTGGCGTTGCCTGCTAATGCAAATCACTTTGCACCTATGAAGATCTGCTCTGTGTGCACAAGCACGTTGGCACCTGTTTTATGATATGCAAACCCTTTGAAGATCTCACCCTGTGTGAGGACCTACGTTTCCTTGGCAAGCAATTGTTTGTGGTACAACTGGTGAATCTGATGTTAGATGTCAACATTGAATTTTATAACTGTAGTCACAAATTTATAATTCTATATATTTTTTCAGCCAAAGTAACACTTTTCATTTGGCAATTCCTTAAAGGCAAAAAATGGGCTCCTGTATTTTTATATGCATTAATGAAAACTCTGACATCTAGAAGTAAGTTTAAAAGATTCCATGTAAAAATGTTTGTTCCACCCCATCTGTCCTCTCTTTTCGAAATCTGAACACTTTGGTCTTCAATGGTGTGTACTTTATTCTGGAAGTGCATGTTTACAGCTGAATCGTGTCCACAACTACTGGCTTTCCTATGCTGTGTGCTGTTTGTGTTGTTGTTGTATGTTTTTTTTTCTGTGCCTTTTTTATAGGAGGCTTGGATTTCTTGCTGTACTGGATTGCATTAACAACACAGCTCAGCTTAAGTTTGGGTGTTTCCAACCAGTTTTTGTCTGCATGTGTTGTTGGGTTTAAAATTTGCCGGTATGTTGTGTTTCGAGAAAAATCTTTCTCAGTTTCTTGGAAATTCCTGACACTTGTTTTTCTTCTGACTTTAAAGAACGGTATGTAAACTTTCAAGAATTTCCCAAGTTTACCAGCAGATAGATCCAAGTATACCGTACTAGCAGTTTACTAAAAAATATACTTTCTGAGACTAGTTAGGCCCACATTAAGTGTACTTTGAAGTATATTAAAAGTACCCTTTTAAGTATACTTAATAGTTCTAGGAATACATGAATTTACTTGGAATACATCTCCAAGTCCATTCATTGTTTATAAAAGTATACTTTAAAGTATATTGAAATTAGCCTTTATACTATTGTTATAGTGACAAAATCCTGTCCTACTGTATATAAAAAGGTTTTATGAGTTTGTTTAAGTCTAACAGCTTATGTGACCTGGAATGTTAATCTGGACGAGACACCAATGTTCTATTAAAGGTATAGTGTAGGATTTTCAGGAATAGCTGACAAGACCTGCCCTCTTCACTTTCAAAACAAAATGCACTTGCAAAACCCCGTACCCGCTCCTGAGAGGTAGCAACTATAAAACGCATGCAAGAGCATGCACAAGCCCATTTCTCCTCTTTCACACTCTGTTTAAAAGTTGTTGTTTGCATCACTCACACAAGCTTGCTTTCCAAAAGAAGATTTGCAATTTTTCCACTACGTCAGACTCAGGACGGCCTTACATAAACATATCACCAGTATGATTGACAATTAGGAAGACCACTTATTTTGATGATGCATCCAGAAAAAGAAC